AGATGAACCAACATCAATTCGATAAATAACCGGTAAAAAGAAAAAAGTTATTGGAGCTGGTAGACATCGTCTAAATGGTGATACTCTTCCACCATTAGCTCCATCATCAGCAACATCTCGTCGTGATGATTTAATACAAAATAAAGGACCACCTGTTGGTACGCCACGACCACAAGCTCTTGTTGCACAATGGGCTATAACAAGTCCAAGTCCACAATCAACAGCTGAAAAATTAACAACAATTGCTAGTGATAATGAATTAGATGATGATGAAGGCAAATATAAATCATTACAAATAACTAAACGTACTGGATCTCCTCATCCAAATACAACAAATCGAATAATACATGATAAAAAAAATGAATTAGCAAAACATAATAATGAAAATTTAATCAATAGTGATTATAAAAAGTCATCTCGTGATAAACAACATCATACTAATTTAAAGAAAGATGATGATGATGAGAATGATAATGGAAATATATCACGAAGATCATCATCAGCACAAAGATCACGTTCAAAATTAAATAATGAAGATGATGAAGATAAATTTAATGAAAGCCATAAAAAACATAATCTCAAAGAACAAGATCATTATTCAAAACAACATTACGATAGACATAACGATAATGATATTAATGAAAATTTAATGGATGGTGATTATAAAAGATCATCTCGTCATAAACAACATACAGATTTAAATAAAAATGATAATGATGATTATGATGATAATAATAATGAAAATATATCTCGAGAATTACCAGCAATACAAAAATCACGTTCAAAGCTCAATAATGAAGATGAATTAATTAATAATCGAAAAACAAATCATTTAAAAGAACAAGATCGTTATTCAAAGCAACATTATGATACAAATAATGATAATGATGACGATGAGAATTTTAATCACGGATCAAGTAGACGAACAATATCATCAGCTCGTAAAACGGCTGCTGGTGGTGGTTCTTCACATCGATCTTATTCAAAAACAGATGAAAATGTAGATGATGAACTAAGATGAACAAATTGTTCAAGGATGCATTTTCTCAATAAAAATGCCTTTATTTCTGTATTTTTTTTTAATACATTATTCTATTATACTGCTTAATGTGTGAAGAAAACATAAGAAAAAAAAACATATTTATTTGTCACTATTTGATGAGAAGAGATAGCTTATGAATATTTACTTGCTTATGAAAATCTGTAACTATTTTTTTTTTTTAATATAAATGCACCGCATAAACTTTTGTAGAATGTAAAATTATTATCATTACGATATCATTTGAAATAGTTTTAAACATGAATGTTTCTAGAGAAAAAAGAAAAAATCAGAATAACTACTGATATATCCTTGTAAACAAAGTAATCTAATAGCATCATTCATTCGAAAGAAGATATAGAAAAAAATAATTTAAGAATACTTTTGAATTTCTATTCAATGCAATAAATTATGGAATTCACTATGTAAGTTGATCTCTCTTACAAAGAGAATGAAGAAGAAAAGATTTTTTTTCTTCTATAATTATCGTCCATCTTGTTCACAAGATAAACAATAAAGGATATAACGGACGTGTATTCTTACTTTTCTACAGCCTGTATATAAACCTATGTAAGATTTATTTGATCATTTCATTCAAATTAACTTGCTATCAAAGTCTATTCTAACTAAGAATGTTCGCTATTGCAAGTATATTTTTTCTTATCATCATATCTTTATGCCATGGTGTACCAATAACTGATCGACAATGTCCACCAGATGCAATTGATTTCAGTACTAAAATAGAAAAATCATCAATTGTTGTCTATGGAAAAGTAATGGCTAAAATGTTAGATGAACAAAGTGATTCAACATTTCATGTCTTCTTTCAAGTTGATTGTATTTTAAAAGGACCAGCAACATTACGACAAATTAATATAACAAAAGCTGGTAAGAAAAATTTTTCTTTCGAAATATAAAACACCATACAACAATATCAGAAAATGACTTTTATTGTTAGGTCATGCTGAAGGTAAACAATATTGTCAAGAATTTCCTGTTGGTCGTGGTTATTCAATAGCTTTTCTTGAACCAATATTATCAAATACAACTGATTATTATACATTTACACCATCTGATTTTGTTGAAATTCTTGTTGAAGAAAATTCAACAAATCTATTATTAGCTCGTACATGTAATCTTCATCAAATAGTACCTCGTCAATCAGCAGCATTAGCTATTGAAGTATGTCCAGCTGTTAGTACTGATCCAATATGTCATGAAACTGTCGATGTAACAACAACAATGACAATGAGTACTGATAGTCTCATGGATACAACAAATAATATTTTATTCGATGAAACAACAACAAATAATATTTTATTTGATATAACAACCAATAATTTATTATCTGATATAACAACAGATGATGTTTTATCTAATGTAACAACAAATATATCAAACGAAATTTTACTTATATCAAATGACAATGAATTTTTACCACATTCAATTGATCCGACACAACAAGAAATAAATGCTATTCGAAGTAGATCTAATACAAATCAAGTTGATGTTGATAAAGGCAATGGTGCCAAATCGAAAACATATAGTACACTTTTTATGATAATGGCTATGATCTTTTGTTTGAATTAATTTTTAAAAGGTTGACCATAAAAAAAAATTTCCGTTACTTTTTCTTTTTAATATTTGCTCACCGTATGCTTCCTATTTTTTAAAATATATAACAAAAATAATTTTAGAGAATTCTTTTTTTTCTTATTTGCGCGTAGAAATTTTCTTTTATCTTAAAATGTACCTATGAATATTATCGAAACAAAATCTATGTCTAATCGAAGTTTATTATCATTGAATAATCAAGGATTAAATGGAAATGTAAGAAGATTATCAAAAAAATTTGAAAATCTTCTTGAATTAAGAACAGAATCTTATGAACAATTATCTTCTCCTAAATCTCAATTATTTACATCAATTCATAAATCATTTACAACAGATGAAAAATATGAAAATAAAAATCATTGTTTAAATAGATGTTCAGATACAATATCACTTCATAATACTAATTTACATAGAGATCAATCTAATCATTTATTAAATAAAAGTTCAATATCAATGATTGATAGTTTATTAAGTCTAATATCAAATAAAATGTTAATAAGAATTTTTAAACAAATACTTGTTGGTAGTTCGATTGGTGTTATCAATGGATCTCTGATTGGACAAAAAAGTCAGGCTCCTTTTTTTCTATAATTTTATTTTCAATAAAAAACTGATTATCAATCTATAGATCTCACAACTAAACTTATTGGTTTCTTAACAACAACTATTTTTATTGGTGAACATATTCTTCATTTTACACAATGGACATCATTTAATATCGGTTATTAGTCTCTCTATTCTGTTTCGTTAGAATTGAATAATAAATTCCTTTTTAGGTAAACTAGAATATTGTAAACCAAAAATGCCTTATTCAAATTCATGTGGAATAATAAAAAATATCGATAGTTTCTTTGTTGATAATATGCCAACAATTGTTTCATTTCTTTTTTGTTTTTATACTTCCATCATTAGTTAATGAATATTTCAAATTTATCCTAAATTAGCTATCAATCATTATGGTTTGGTCAAACAAATATATCAACAAAATTTTTTCAATTATAGATAAATCTTGATAGTTCATGTTTATAATATGCGTGTTATTATTAATTATAAACAAAAATACAATTCAGATTTGATTCTTTCATCAACGAACAAGAACTATTATATATGTTCATCAAATTGATACATGTTTTTCTTGTTTTGTTTGTTCAGATATATATATGTGACGGTCAAAATTGGAACCTGGTCAAATTCTAAATTTGCCTGTTCAAAATTAGAATTCCAGTTTCGTCCAGAAAAAATTAGGATTCTAATTTTGATCGTATTGTTCTTGGACAAAATTAGAATTCCAATGTTATTCGGACGAAAGTAGAATTGGACTAAAAATAAATTGATGAAGTTGAAAACAATTAGAGCTTGAATAAATAAAGATTTTTTTATTTTACAAACTATTTAAAGATGCAACAAACCCAAGGTTCGGGATTTGGTTTTATAAGGTTTGGATTTGAGATCATATCTGAATTAGATTTGGAGTTGTGTTTGGGTTTCAAGTAGGATTTTATTTGATTTTAGACTCAATGTGGATTTGGAGGTTTGG